TACGTGTAGTCAAGTGGAACCCATGTCAAGGTCTTGAGATCAAATATATGTAGATCATTCAATTTCCTCCTTTTTGCATCCTCACCGCCAAACAATATTAAGATCGAGCCAGCTCTAACAACACTGTGACCACTACGAGCAACCTACCAAGAAGAAATTCTTTGTTCAGTACTAATGTGCCGTTACAGGTTATGTTTCTATCATTTCTCACGATTCCATATATAAATAAAGACGATGCACTAGCAATTTCTATCACTGCATCATTTGCACAGTTATGAGACGAATGTCCTACCGGTATGTTTCCCTTGGCCTCCATGAGTGACCAGCACTCTGTCTCTGTATCAAATGCCCATACTATAAAAGCACCAAAATTATAATCAGAACAATTTCACAACAATAAACAGGACAGAACTAACACATGTAGACAACATGAAATTGAACCTGAAATTCTGTCACTTCCTGGGTCTGTTTTCCCTCCAATGAGGAGTACCTTTTTCCCCCAGGACACCTTGCCAATTTATAATCAAATAAGTGTAAGAGAGACTAGAAAGAAAGCACAAATCATCACCAATTATTATTATAAACTTAAAACAAGAGGCATTTCAACACAAAACACTTGATTACGAAAAGTAATATACAAAAGATACAAAGCTCAAATACAAGAGTATATTGAAGTAGAGAAGTAGCTATGGTACTTTTCTTGTTCCTCATTGTCAAGTTTCTATTAACTACTTTGAACCAAATTACTTATAGATTTTCTTTTTTAATATAGGAAAATAGTGTCTTTTCCTTTTTAAATTCTCCGCTCATATTTCTTTTTATGAACTTTATATTCAAAGTTATAGGGCCCAAATTTTTCATATCATATATAATTAATTTGATGAGGAGCATTCCAAACTCTTAATACTAGTTCGTCCACTTGCATTGTCTGATTAAGGGGTCGTGCGATGAGATCTGATTGATCAAACCAATATTAAGCAGAACATTTGTTGATTGAAGATAGAACTTGCTGATGAATAGTGTGTTTTTGGAGACACAAGGGTGCACTGCAGGAAAGTGATTTGCTCTTTCCACTATTTTGAGGAATTCAATAGTATATTGAGAGATATGTTATTCCATGTCTTTCACAATGAAACAATGCAAAATGTGATAGTGAAGAAAAGAGAAGAGTATTCTCGAGAACACTAAATGGAAAATGATTGATAAGCCACGGTGCTAAGAATATGTTGCTAATAGCACATACGTACCAAACTATGGCCCTTGCATGCTGGAATCTTCAGTGGCAGACTGCTTGGTGACAAGTATAGCTTTGACAACGCAGTGGTCCATGAAAATCTGTCAAAACTCAGCACCTGGCAACAAGAATGAACACCATCCAGTGGTTGAGATGAACTAACAAGCAAGCAATTACTAAATAATATTGATGTTGCTGCTCATAACCTCAGCAACAATCTCCCCCACTTATACCTGCACGTCATCCAACAATCCAGTTCCAGATTCACCGCCAACCACTATCATCTTATTCCCAATGACTGCTGCTGCATGCTACTCACAATTCACAATGAATAACAACACTTCAGTCTTTTTACCTTTACTGACTATATATGAGGATTAGTGAGCAATTCACTTCAGAGAGTAAAGTAAGTAATTGAGGAGAGAATCTATAGTTGATTTGATGTTAACGCACATGCATTAGAGGAGACATATCAACAATTAAAATTACTTATTTTATGATTGGTCACGCATTTTAGGAAGAAAATCCCTATATATGAGTAGTAAATAGTAACCTAAAAGTAATAATAATAGTTGCAGTTGGAGAAAAAGATAGAAAAGCAAAAGAAAAATGAGATTACAGACATTGGATCTAGGAGTGGGTATATCCCCAGCAATAGACAGCACCATCCAGTTCTCTGAGCTGCCAGATGCACAACTACTTATCTCAGTTGAAGGCTGGCAATCACCTTCACCAGAATGGCCACTTGACCCTGCATCTACTTCTCCCTGGAACAACCTTAAAACTTAGGAACACCCCTTTGTTTGAATGAAGATGAAAATGCGTTAAAAATGCAACATTGACTGGTGATATGGCTAAAAGAAATTGTAAGAAAGAAAACGCTACATTGGAGCTTCCACTTCGTTTGGAGTGCCTGACGGGAGTTCTGGTTCCCTGATTGGCCTCAGAAAGCTGCACCTTCAATCTGACACACACACCAATGTTAAGTTAAATGCTTGCAAGTGATGTTAGGAATAGGAAATAAAGTGATTTACCTGCCAAGTTTCATACGGCGACGAGAGAAGCCAAACATGATGAAGCTGAATGCGAGAGAGGAAGAAGAAAGTGGAGAGTAACCCTAGAACTAGAAGGGAAGAAAGGGAAGAAGGTACATTACATTATGACAACATCATCACAAGTCACAACTCGGAAATGAGAGAAAAAGGGTGTTTGAAAACAAGATGGATATGATATCTGTGTTTGTAAGAATGAAGAAGGAAGAAGCATGAAAGTTGAGAAGTGAAGAAGCAAAGAGTAGAGACAGAAGAAACATAAATGAGACAGAGGATGCGCACGTTAGCAAGATGTCAGTGTCTGTGTCCACAAAAGAAGGATTTGGTTGGATACGATACGCCCTACACTACTGTTTACGCTTTCCAAGTTACCGTTGCTTCAGTCACCACGGAAATTAACCCATCCTTTTATTAATTCTTTTTTCTTAAATATTCAAATACTCATTTTTTTTTTAATTTTTATAAAATATATGACTTACTCAAAATAATTTCTTCCTACTTTTTCATGGATAACATTCTTTCAAAATTTTGTATTTTTATAAACTTTTATTATTTAATTTGTATTCTAATAATAATACTTATTTAAAAATTATTATCTATTTTTAAGTAATTTTTGTGTTATATTATCGTACTTTAATTGAAGAAGTTGCTAATAAGTATTATTATTTATGAATAAAATACTCTATAAATTCTCTCCATTAAAAATGTTCTTAAAAACTAAAATAAAATTATAACTCTCACCATTTTTTTTAGATTTATATTTTAAATTACTTAAAATTAATATTAAACTTAACATGTACTACTAATCATTATCATTAGATTAACGAATAAATAGAAAATTTATAATACTTTGTTTATAATTATAACATTTTAAAACTAAATTACACTCTTTAAAGTTAATTAATTTAGATAAGAGTATTAAATTTTTAATAATTTAAATTATTTTTTCATTCAATCATTTTTATCTAATTAATTAATATATATTTTTAAAATATCTATATATCAATTCATCCTTTCTAATTTTAATAAGAGGATATTTATCTAATTAATTTCAAGTATTTATTATTTTTTTGAAAAATTATTTATAAAATAAAAATATTTTTAAATATATATAATTAAT